AGAGAGAGAGAGAGAGAGAGAGAGAGAGAGAGAGAGAGGCGGGCAGGGTGGAAAGGAGGCAAGGCAAATGTCAATATCGACGATGCATCGTTGAGAGGGCGGGAATGAGAGCGTAATTAATCGTCGAAGCCAAGAAATCTTTTCCCTCTTTCTCTTCCTCGTTTGATCAATTCACCGGCGTCTTTCGCTCGCCTTTCTTTCAGTGTGTCATCTTCCGCATCTCCTGCTGCACGTGGAAAAACGTACACGTATAGGTACGGAGAAATCAGTACGGAAAAGACGATTTAAACTTACGAACGTTTGCTCCTCTATATAGTCTTAATTCATTTTTTCCACAAATTCTCGTTGTTAACAGAACAGGAAAGTTTCGAATGCCTCCATGGCTCGCAAACGTAAACAGTCCTTTAAGAAACAGCCCCTATAAGTTACGCTGCATCGAGAAAGCAGCCTGGTGGCAGCCGGTGCTTATATTTATTTAAGTTTCAACGACATCAAGCATTTGCCCCCGGAGAAAACGTTGAACGTCAGCCCGCTTCTTAGCGCGGCACGCATCTGCTATGCGTATTTTCTGAAAATCACGAGAATCCCAATTTGCGGTATAATTTAAAGATAATAATGTGCAACCGAAAGAAGAAGCAATAATACATATACTTCTTCTACGTATATTCCTCCCTTCCCTTCCCTCCTTCCCAAATATCCGTGGTTTACAGTCTGTGGTGTCCGCAGAAATTCTACGGCTGAGGCACAATACGAAATGTATATAGTAGCGTAACATTTTCTCTTATCGAGAGCGGTACATCTGCCAGTACGAGGAAACGTGTTTACGAAATATTTTAATTACCTTATCGTCAAATCGCCGCGCTCTGGCAGCTGCCGGTCGAAACGCGTGCTTCTAATTGCCGAGCTAGATGGTAGACGGACTTATAGCGCCTGGTTCCCTTTTTACGGGACGAAGATGTATTACCCGATCGAAAGTGTGACGTATATAACTCTTGCGCAAACGCGTTCATTCACGCGATCGTAGAAATATTTTATTCAAGTAAGGATTAACTTTTCCTCCCTCGTGCCCGTGACTTAAAATGGCGTCAGTGTCACACGCAATCCTCCGATACTGTATAACGTTCGAAATTTAAAGCCGCTATCCAGCAGAAGCTACGCAATAAAATTTATTGAGAAAATTATTCGTCGATTTCGTGGATGAGAACGCTATATTTTTTCAGCGTTTTTAAGATTTCATCAATGACAATCGTAATAAAAAGAATAGAGAAACATTGTCGAAAGTCACGGATTTTCATGTGTTCCACGTGTATATCCTACGGTCAATCAATAAAGGCAACCGCCGTCGTTTGGTATCCTGGTAGTCTATATTTCCTTCCTTTGTACCGCGTAACCATTGCGCGCGTGTCACACGCACGCGGCCGGAGAGTTCGATAGAATTGTTAAACGCAGGGACCACGAGTTCTGACGTTCGCAAAAAAAATTTTGCGCTTGTCATTCAGAGGGAAGCCCTTTCCGTTCCCGTTAACTTTCAGTGTTGAAAAACGCCTACCTGATATCTCTCACACCTCAAGTGACGTTTACAATGAAATTTTTAGACGTAAAACTCAAGCTGAAGCCTACTTAAGCCTTAAATTGATCAATTATAGACGAGTATTTTCCTCATACGTTATTCGATTATGATTAGTCTATATTTTACGGTTTAAAACTTAACTACACCTATTGTGTTTCGAGACCAAAAGACATCACGTTTAGCGAGTACGAGAAATGCAGGGAATGGAAGTAACTCGTTACTTGTAACGAAGTTACAGTTACAAGTTACTTTTTTGGTAACTTTACTGGTAACTGCGTTACTTTCTTTTTTTGGTAACTGTAACGGTAACGAGTTACATTTTTTGGGTAACGGTAACGAAATTTACAGTTACTTTCGTCGTTACTTTGCACACGATTGAACACGGTTTGATTGGATACATGCTATGTATAGCGCTTATCAATAAGACTTGAAAGCCCTTAGACATTCGGCTGTCATGATTCAGTAATTATTTTACACTTCTATCTTCTATGTAATACATAGGACATACAAATATTTCAGTTTGCTGCATATTTTACAGATTTTAGAATTACAAAATTGTGTTTAAAAAAAATTAAAAGATAAATTATATAATAGTAAAATGAGAAGGGCTACGAACCCAAAAGCGAAACAGTTTAAAAGACGATGACAATAAGTGTCGAAACGTCGTTTGTTTTTATCTTGTTTTATCCATGTTATTGTTCTAATATATATTTATACATTTAATTACATTGTCATCGTCGTTCTTATCGGAAATAAACTGTTTCATTTTTGGCTCGTAACCCTTCTCATTTTACTTTTATTTAATTTATTATTTGAGCCATTCTACATTGTTTTTTTTTTTAATAAAATTATATATTTGTCAGTATTACAAATAAAAAAAAAATGCAAAAGTACATTTTTAAATTGATTTTAAAAAAGTAACGGAAAAGTAACGAAAAGTTATTTTTCAAGTAACGGTAACTGTAACGAGTTACTTTTAAAAAGCGATAACTGTAACTGTAACTAGTTACATTTTTTACTCGGTAACGAGTAACTGTAACTAGTTACTTTTAAAAAGTAACTTTCCATTCCTTGGAGAAATGCCATTTAGGATCGAATCGACGTTGTGTCGTTCCTCCGTGTAGCTGAAAAGATCGCCCCGATATTTAGACCATGGTTTTTCGATCAGCTGACTTTAATTTCATCAAAACCATTTTCACTGCGCGACAGATGGCCGGCGACGGGACGGACGAAAAAACCGTTGCACCCATT